CCGGAATCGCACAGTTGAGGACACTGAACGTCATGGCTGCGAACCGACAGCAATGGCGATCTTGCTGTCACTTCTTATCAGACCAGAATGCTTGAAGTAGTATGTATGCACAGTCGAATTGTGCTCTCTGTGTGTTGACCATAGAGATTCACTTTCTTTTACCTTCCCTAAAAATAAATCCAATTCTTGTCTGGGATCAGTGAAGTTCGCTTCACTGTATTAAACTGTACAATGATGTTGATGATGATGATGATGATGATGATATTGACTATCAGTTCTTGCTGATTGACTGGTGCAATCGAGGTGTGGATAAAAGTATGACTTGTGACGAAACCTGTGAACTTGCGCCAGGATATCTTTGTGATAATGTGATGTGGGTACCGAGTTGGGTGACCCCTATGGGACTCGCCAACAACTCATTCTGAAATAACGGTAACGGACATTAGGTTGCTACTGGAGCTCGATCGCACCTCTTGCCAACAATGATACAAGCAAAAGGAGAACACGATTTACACCTGCTGGTGTTTACATAGGCCACAACGGCCAAAGTAAGGTACAAGACAGGTTAAGGAACGAGCTCCGAGTTCCTGATGATCATGCATTCGTTTGTGATTCGTGTAGTTCTCTTCCTTACACTTCTTTTGCATCTGCAATATTTGCCCACTGTGTACCTGGAAACGAAGGGGGTTGGGTAACTAGAATTTGTTAGTGAGATTGGCAAACTTTATAGCCCGTTCAGTGCCGTTACGATAACAATGGGTTTTTCTTGCCAGCTCATCGATCGCAGTGAATTATTGCATGAGCAAAAATGAGGCGGCATTTGGTATTGTTTGGACGTAATCCACTCTTGAGTTTTACTATGTGCCAGTCGTGGACCACTGAAAGATGTTGTGCTCATTTTGTCTGGAACAGTTATTTGCTCTCCAAAATTTCCAGTCAATCTTTTCATGCTATTACTATTGTGTCGATCGGAGAACAACGAGAACACAAAGAAAAACGGTGATACACGAGTATGGTTTGGGTTATTGTATTGCCCATAGGCTAGGGGTGGGGTGGGGTGGGGTGGAGAAGGCATTGTAATGATCCAATTACTGTGAATGAAAAGTGTATTGTTCACACATCTCACCTCTGAACTGACTTCCAGCACTACTGGCCTCAAGTACTAGCTGCCTGGCAAAATGATAAGCTGCCTGTTTCTACCTTATACACAAACGTCCACCTTTGCCTACACGGTCATGGTGAATCTTGCAACAAGACGACAGCCGTCAAGATGTGTCAAAGATGACTGTCTTAGGTGGGTTAGATAGAACCATTGTTTGTCAATCACTCGTGTCCTACGGTTGGTTCAATCAACTATGATTCAAGTGCTGGTAGATGCATTGCTACCAGTCCAAACCGCAAATAGGTTCGGGTACAGGGACCTATGCCACTGGAAACTGACCACATCATAGACGAATTTGGAGTTCGACGATGTAACGTTTATTTGTTTTCTCTGTCAAACTGGTCAAATTTCGTTGGACCGCCTTTTTCATTTGTTCCAAGCAGCTTGTTGGAGGACGTTACACAATCCTTACCAGTCTTTCCTACTTGAAAGCAGCTATAATGACGGGCTCTTCAATGAATAAGGATTTGAGACCAACACCATCGTTAAGTTGGTCTCGGTGTCCGGCTTTAAATTCGCCACTCTCGATCTATTCCTTTTTGTATGTTTTTTGTTGATAAAATAAGATGCTTTGTCGTTTGGGAAAGGGAGTTTGCTTAAAGCGAGTCAGAGGTGTTGCTCGGTGTTCACATGTATGCAACCGGTCTCGTGTTTCAAACGTATCTTGCGCAACCACTTTTTCCAAATAAGTCATATATCCCCAACGGCAAGTAATACTTGCTATCCGTTAACTGTGGATTTAATCTATCGCATTTGGAGTCCTTTCTACACTTGCGATTTCAACAGCTGTTTCCTCCAATGAATTCCATCTCATCCGTTGGAACTGGTGGTCACTGTTGCGTCGCACAACTATCAGTAATTAAAGTTTATATACTGGTCGTCAGATATTATTTTCCGATGACCGATTTAGAATTTCTGATTTATTTATCTATAGCCAAATCATGTGTTTAGTCGAACCAAGAGATACTGAGATCGACTGAACGTGGTACACTCTATTTTCTTCATATCACACTCTTCATTCACAAGTTCATACTTATATACGATCAACGACTTTGTTTTTTTTTAAAAATTTTAGGCTTCGATTTTTGATGCTCAGAAAATTCGGTGTTTGTGGGCCAAACGAATCCGGCGAAAATTATCCCCAAATGGCTCAGATTCAGAAGACCCCATCCGCAGCGGTCGCCAACGCTGATCATTTGGGGGCGGATCCATCGACCGGCAGTCGTCCGACAGATGATCCGACTGCATCCAATTTGATGGAGGAAGCCGGCCACTCGCCCGTTGGAGTTAGTGAGGATACCGAGACGGAGTCGTTGCGACCGGAGACAGAGACTAACATCTCATCCGAGATGGAATGTGTAACCACAAATAGTCACACCCGTAACGGGACAGGGAATAGCTGCACTGCGACATCCAAATCTTCTACCGCTTCCATTTCCGTCAGCAACGAATCGGCTCCCGCATCTCTAGCCACCGGAACATCTACCGCCGCAAAGAAATTGACAAGCACGTCCTCGACCACAGCCTCGTTATCTGGAGCGGCCGCACCAAATGCATCAGCTACTGCTACAGCAGCTGTTTCTGCTGCGGCTATGGCCACCGCCTTCTTATCTGGAGATGAAGATGAGGTGGAAGATGTAGCCCAGTTGGAGGCCAGGATTGAAACTCTAAACCAGGTTGTGGAATATAAACAACGTGCGATTGAAGAGTGCTCATATCGTCTGTCTGGATTATTTCTTGGGCAAGATCGTTTCTATCGTCGCTACTACATTTTCGGTCATTTGGGTGGAATATATGTTCAAGGGCATGCAGTTAAACAACAACCATCCACTGTTCTGTCATCTGACGATCAGCCTGCCCCAGTTGAAACGGAAGGACTGAGCTCAGATTCAACAGACGCGAAGGATCGTGATTCAACGGAAATCAGCCAGGATAGACAAAATGTGCCGGGAAGTTCAGACACAACCAATGATATCAGCACTCCTTTGCTGTCTGACTATCAGCTAGATGATGACGATGATGCTCGACTTGGTTTCGATCCGGATCAGATCGTTACTCTGATTCAGGAGCATCATAAACTAGCAGAAGCCAGGCGATATAAAATCAACCTACCCTCGAGTAGTGTACATGGTTCATCCCTGTCCACGACGTCAACCGCTGGTCATAATCAACATCATAACCAAACTCATCAATCCCAGCTGACTTCATCTGGATCCGCGCAACAAACCAGTACACCTAAACCCTCGCTCACTCCAAACACATTGTCGGCAGAGCTGTTATCCGAATCTGTTCACTCACCCAAAGCTAGCAGTCCGTTAACTGCTACTGATTCCTCAGTCCCGGTTGCATCGAAAGACTCATCGGAAAAACAGGTATGTTCTGTTGGTGATCTGTTACAAGACACCAGGGGCACTGAAGCTCGCGAAGATCCCACATCGCCTAGAGTAGATTCCGTAGCGCCGGAGCTACGTCCTGAAGAGTCGCATTCCGAACCCCAGTCCACATCCTCACAAACACCAGACACCTCAGGTGCACTAGCTCGCTTTGTAAGTGAGATTGATGGGCAAGACCTAGGCGAGTTGAATGCATCAAGTCCGAAGCCAGATTCTTCCGAACAGGTTACAAAACTGACGGCATGTTCAGAGGATAGAACCGTTCAGGAGGTTAAAAAGATGCTACCCGATGAAACTGCGAATACTTGTGAAAATGTGACAGAGAAAGAGGCGGATAAATCTCATAGTGCGACATTGGAAACTTCAGCCGATCCGACTGAGCTTCCTTGTGCATCAGTTTGTGAGCCATCTTCTGAGACTGTCGTTGAAGAACCGTGCCACAAATCAGACGAAGAAAAACTAGCGATGACTTCTGAGTGTAATGTACTGATGAGTAATTCGAAAGTAGCTGAGGATTCTCCCAAGAATTTGACGGAGAGCGTTGGAACTGAGAAAAAGGAAGACACGTGTACACTTGAGCAAAGCCAGGCAATCGATCCTAGTCACACAGGTTTGCCTTGGAAGTGCGAGGATTTTACCGATTCTGTGCCACAAAATGCAATAAACTTAGATTTAAAAGTTGTGAAGAATGGCGAAGAGTCGTGTAGTTCTCATGATATCACTCCAGTGAATTCTAAACGCGAAACATGTGCGAACGCGCAGCCGTTGGATCTGTCCACCAAATCTGCCCCAGATGGACCACCTGAAGTTCTTCAGACCTTGAAGTCCGCATCTCTTCCGGAAACACCAGAGGCCAGTTACGCGTTCATAACCAGTTTGGGTTTGGATGATGTAGCCCTGACCACAGCTGCACTTCTGTTCATGACACATACCTCGATCATTCCGGCTTCTGTGGCCTGTAGTGAAACTTTGTTTGAACCATGGAAATCAATAATAGCTCACTACAAATCGATATTGATTTGGGCTCTAATGGAAGAGTTACGCGTAGATGGTTCGTCAGAAATGTTGGACAATATTGTGAACTCAAATGGTCAGATCAATGCGTCCCAGATCGATACAAACGGTGACCTCTCCGGATCTGAAGGTCCGAAAACTTTGCGCGATGCGGTGTTGCTATTGAAAAAGTCATTTGTGGATGAATCCAAACCGAATGCAGCCGCTACGGGCTTGGACTCATTGGAAGATTTCTCTCGACCAATTTCAGAGTCAGAGGTCGAAAACCTAGTCAATCAGGAGCTAAAATCCCGCCGAATCCAAGACAAACATCCTCAACCGACCATCGTTCATGCCACTGCTCGGTCAGACGACGGGGGTCAGTTGAAACCCCAAACAGGTTGGTATCGTCTTATCGATCGTACCAAACTTCACGAACTAATACACGCTTTGGCTTCACGAGGTATCCGGGAGCGGAATTTGGCCAAGGCACTGAAACGTGCAGATGATCTGGTTGAACCATCACTGAAAGTGGCATCGGATGCAGGTTAGTCATCTGACGGCAATGCGAAAATGAGTGTGTTGTTTCACTTTTACCTTCTCTTTTTTATTCGCATCTAGCTCTTCGTTATCTGCTGTATACAAAATACTTTGTACTGATTCAACATTCTGATAGAACTATAATGAATCGAAATGGTGGTAAATCATATTATTTTGAATCACAGTTGATTGATACGATTTTCAATCAATAGTTTTCTTTCTTATCAAACTGCCACCAAGATATGTGAAGACCGTGGAACCAGTTCTCGTACCCTATCGTTTGATATGCCGTTGCCTTCTAGTGGGTCTGTTGATTGGATACGTTTATCACACGTTGCCTTGGCCATGCCGCACTGTAGCTCATAACACCCAACTTGTCCTTCATACTATTATTACGGGCATCCGTGGATAATATCAAGTGCGTAAGTTAAGTACTGTGACTAAATAAAAGTTATTGTCCTTCTTCTTGTATCTCCTCTTGGCTGTTTCGTTTTAACCATTGTCACGTTATTCGCTGTATGTATATGTACAAATAAAGTGGGAGATTTTTTTATTTTTTCATTTTTACTTCTTTTTATTGAATACACAATGATAGAATTTTCAGTAATGGGGAAGCGGCTAATCAAAGGGCTACCATACAACACGCGAATGGTCTAGTCTCTCGCTAATAATCTTTGCTTCGAGACTTAAAATGCGACACGAACATGCTAGATGTTGTTTTCCGCAATCATATCGTATGCGAGTTTGATATTCCGAATTAGACCACCATCTCAATTGCCCGAACATTATGTATGTTTCCCGGAGATCTAGTCAAGAATCTGGTACCTACGTTTTCATTACGCAGAGTTATTACCACCGTAATGGGACACTTTCCTTGTTTTTCAGGTCACTACACAAGAATTATTTTAAATTTCATCACATACCGAGGGAATAAATTTTGCCTTTTATTCTTATCTTTCGTACTTTTACAAGTGTTTGAATTCGACAACCTAACGAACGATCCCGGTGCTGGATGGGAAACACGTTTCTTACGTGTACGTTCTCGTCGCGGTAAAGGCCGTGGCGGTTCCGGTGGAAACACTGCCGCGAATACCAGTTGCACATGTCATTGCGGTTCCTCTCACGCTCTGCCCGGGGGTATACCACGCTCAGGGACACAGACATGCCTGACCGAGTCCTCGTCATGCGCTTCCTTTCGTCATTTTGAGAATACTGACTACATGGCAAACAGTGCTTGTCCTTCGCCAAATTCCGCTAGTGCCGAGTTCTCCTGGTCCGCAGAAGAGAATAGTGCAGGTCCAGCTCCCGCTGGGGCAGGGCCCAATGGATCAGCAAACGTTGCCAGTTCCGGGGGTGTCACTATTTTGGAGTCGCGTCTACGACGTCGTCCTAATCACGGTACTGCACGATCAGACAACAGTCACTCTTCGCTGGTTCATTCCGTTAATGATCGACTTGAAAAGCGACCGGTTATAACTCCTTCCTCATTTAAGAACGGCGATCCGCAAACAAACGGACGCACGTTGGCTGAACTTGCTGGCAGCAGTGATTCTTCCTTCCTTGCTGAATGCAGCTTTTTGGAGGAAGTTGAATCGTTGGAGGATCGAGTGCTTTCAGCTAGTTTGCAAGTTAAAGGCTGGCAGGTGAGTACATATGCACCCATGTTTTGTTTTCATACCCCACGCAGCACATTTTCTCAAGGTAGTGCAACAAAACTAACTAACTAAAATGAGAGTGTATTAGTGTTACCCGACAGTTCATCTCAGTGGTTCACGTCCGTTTGGTCGTTCACCTTCCATGAATGAATCAAGCACAAGTACTCACTGAAAAGCGTTGAATGTGTTGTTGTTGTTGTTTGTTCCAAGTAACAACCCGTTACAGTAGACATGTCGAAGTGATACTTTACTTTACTTTAATCCTTGGAAAGGATAAGCCGGCTCCAGGCATGATCATGATCATGAAGTTCCTTGGGAGTTTGCTACAAGAAACGTCCATAGCGTCACGCGTCTTTTTTTATTTTGAGGGCGCACCCATATACAACCAAGTGCGAACTGCAAGGCAGCAAGAAGTAATCCCTCGCCTCGGAAGTGAGGGTCACTGACTTTAGTTTTAAAAGGCCAGTCACATCGACCTTTGTCACGGTACCGTCATTGGGCTTATGCGGTTTTCAAACAAGGGCCAGGTGACCAGCCTGAAACCCACCACACCCTGGTAGTGCCGCCGCTGTATGTTCCGACTGCTTATTTGTTGCGGTATGCCACAACTTATTCACGGCTAACCTTCGGTGAAGGTATCCTCTATCCACAACCCGGGAACGCCCCTGGTAACATTCAACTGGGCTTAACTCAGGGGTTGAAGTGGTTCATGATTAAAACAGATATTTACTTCTCATGATAGGTAACTGACCAATTAAAGAGCTCTCAATTTGATACTGAAGGCATCTATTTTCTCAATTTGTATTTCAGGCACCGGTAAAAGTTCTAGATGACGAAACCATCCATTTGATACCACGTACTACCCCAAAGCGTTCGCGATTTGAACACTGGCCACTCGACTTGGCTCGGAATCGTCTCCTTGGATTGGAAAGCCATTTGGAACGTCGTTATCTGCTTCCACCATTGAATTCCGAAGTCCATCTGGACGTTGTTCCCGAACCAGACGTTCCAACGAGCTCCCTGCTTTCCGGGGTTGCAACAATGGCTGGAAGCGGAGCTAGCACAAGTGATAACAGCCGCTCTGCGGTGTGTGATACAGTAGAGACAGAAACGGAGAGCGAGAGCGGTATCGGCGGTCCGGGCAGTGAGGGAACTGGCGCAAAGGACCACAATGAAACAGTACATCATCCGCAAATTCGTCGTGTGGTCAACAAGCAACCGGTATCGGCAACCGGGGCCAACGATTCGAATCCATTTGGCGTGGGCGGTATTTACTCTCCTTTTAGCAGCTACGGATCTGATTTACAAGATCCGGCCACTTACCTCTTTGGATCTTATTCCACTGAGAATCTTCCCCCTGGCCTCGTAGATTGGCGACATCGCTTGCATCGAGCGACAGATATTGCCACTATGCGTTCCTGTATGGAACAGTTAAATCAAGCTATTGCTTGGGACAAATCTATTATGAAAGTGGTAAGTTTTGCCCACCATTATCCCCTTGATCGATCTAGGGGTTGACAGCAACTTTGATTGTCTCTCTTTTCCCACATTAGTCTTATATAAAATCTGTTATCGGTTACACTAGTGACGGTAACACGTCACATTACTTACCAGATAGAGGCAAAATCTTACTCACACAATCAAGATCATTATAGTTCTAATCGCCAGCCAAACCAAACCTACATCGAGTCTATCTTTTGTTTACACAGTTGTTCCCGTCTATGTGCTGACAAATGTGTCATGTACGGATAGTGAGCGGAGAGAGACCCTAATAATCGATCAGTCGAATATTTGCGTATATAACTTCACCAGTCGATCGTTAATTGTAATCAGCTTCTATTCATCAGGTGCATATGTGTCATTCTAGACGACTTAGTTTGCCATGTGGACCGATACAAATTTTAGAACGAAGGCATGGTTATTTGTTTTTGATGATCAAGCGTCCTTTCGGTAAGACCGCAACATCCTTCTTAGTTCGATTTGCCTCTACTTTCTCCTGCCGGTCAGTCATTGTTACCCATCAGGATCGGATGGGATTTGACCATTCACACTGAGCATTATATATATATATATATATATATATATATATATATATATATATATACTCGTACCTACTCCTCACAGGGAGATTGAAAGCTACGCATTAGCTTGAACAGCAGCATCTTACGAGTAGCTAAAACAAGTAAAACGTTGAGCAAACGGACCAGTTAGTTGTCTGACTGTTTGGTTAACTGAATGACTGAGGAGCGAGGGGTGGCAACCAACCATGCGAGCTATCGAACGAACGGTGGACCAAATGAACGAATCGGATTGTTAGAACACGATTTATGGATAAACGGTCCTGATCGTAATCGAGGCCACTGACGGATATATGGTTCGGGTAACCACATGCTGACACTCGCATTGTCAGTTACGCACAAGCACCTTCAGATTATCCGGCAATAAATCAATAAAGTCTGCTTTCTACCCCATCAGATAATTCTATCCCTTCTTCTTTTCATTCACTTTCAAATGAATTCAACTTACTTACAGACGCACTTGCTTGCCCCTCCCCCTCCGCACACACGCAGGTACAAACCAACCCCAAAGCCCGCGTGCAAGCGTTTTGCCCGTTGGTTGCTGTATGAACGTTTAGCATTTGAACACACTGTGAATGAGGACTGAGGGTAACGAATTAATAATGGGGAGGGCCAAACCGGTCAGGATGCAGCGCAACCAACATTTCGTCTAACTTGTCTCGCGTATGTGCATCACCGGGTAGCTCTTCTCTAGTCACTCACTGATTGTTTCCGTTGCCTTGCCNATGACACCGACCAACCTCGTTAGTTGGCGTGGTCCGGAAAAGGTAATTGTGGTGGCACAAATTAGTCCTGTCATTATGTGCTATCACACCCTACCTAGTTGGATTATTGATTTGTTATTAGAATTTTGGCGGTCTTTTTACTCCTGTTTATTGAATAATCGAATCAACTTTTTTGATGACAAAGTGGACACTTAGAGGGGGCTATCGGGGAGTAAAATGAAATGCGAAAGTTGGTCGGAGATAGTCGGTTTCGGACACGCCATCTCTGAGGCGTTGGGGGAGGAGGGGGGTGACCCACACAGCTGGATCATTTTTCCATGAATTTGGCTTCTTTCTTATCGCATCTCCTGTTTCGCAAATGGAACTGCTCTCAGAATACCAAGAGAAAGTGATTTCTCGTCTACTTGATGTGCTGTTCATTGTACACCTTTTTTCTACGCATATGTTCACAACCTTTAGTAGGCTGTTGTCGAAAACGGGCAGAATTACATCACTGGTTACGATTTCTTCAACACTTGTGTGCATTTGAAAGTCTCAAATTAACGGTTGTACGAATCGTTTTCAGGAAGGGGTATGTGTTCAATCAAAAACTGGCAATAACCTACTCGCTTGCTTTAACTTTTTAAAAATAGAAATTTGACCTTTAGTTAACTGCATGTTTTTTGTTGATTTCGTTTCGTCTCACCTCAGCTCTGTCAGATATGCCGACGCGATAATAATGAGGCTCAGTTATTGCTATGTGATGGCTGTGATCATGGGTATCATACCTATTGTTTTCGGCCACCATTGGTCGATATTCCTGCCGGTGACTGGTTCTGTTACGATTGCGTGTCCAAAGCGACCAGTAAACCACACTGCTTTGTTTGTGGTGGTACACAAACAAACGGACCTTCTGGATGTTGGAACACTGTAAATACTACCAGTAACACGATCACCACCACCAACGCTAGCACAACTGTCGGCAATACTACTAACGGTAATGGTGATATAGCTCGATTGGTTACCTGTGAGCAGTGTTCCCGTGCGGTACATGGCTGTTGTGCTCGACCCCCAATGACTAGACTCCCACGACGTTGGATTTGTCCTACTTGTGCTGTCTCTACTGGACGAGCGAAACCGAAAAATGCGCCTGCTTCTACCACCGGGACAGGCGATAAACAGCAAGGTCCTTCGGGCAAAAATAACCGACCCACGGATCATGACAGTGAAACTAGCTTGGAAAGTCATTCCACACAGCACAGTAAAGAGGTTCGTCGATTTTTCATGTTTCCGACATATCCCTCGACTAATTAAAACCATCACCCATGTATTGATCCATACTACACAGCAAAAGCTTTGTTGTTTCTTATGATTTCTATATACTCCAGTGTGAATTTTTACCAGTTTGCAACCTTATTATACTGAAATTTTCCGTTTTCTGTTCGACTGTGCTTTCCTGTCTGTCTCGTACTGCCTTATCCAAATGAGAAAACAAAAGACAGCACCCAAAACCGTCACACAAAGTGCATGGTTGTACAAACTGAAACTGAAAAGCAGGACTGAATGGTGTCTTAATTCTCAAGAAACTGTACAATTAGCATTTATGTACCTGTCTGCTAAACCAGCGTACACTGTTTGTGATGAACTATTAGAACCTCATTTCACTAGTTTATACAAACGTCTCTAGCCGAGATCACACCACACCCAAAGTACAACGAGACGGAATCAGATGACGTATGCTTCGTGATAGGAACTCTAGTCATCTTTGTTCACAGACTGAATGCATCGCTGTTTGCCTGGTAAGGATAGGCTTTCTGTGGCAGCTGGAAGATGATATAGTCCGTTATTTCGATGTCTGTGGGAGAAAGGCTTAGAAATCGCATCATCCTTGAAACAGGGCTGTGTCTTCCCCGGTTCAGGGTGTCGAACGCTTAAGCAGAATGTGGCTGAATGCACGACATCCTATATAGATTTTGTTAATGGTCGACTGATACAGGTAAACGAGCCCCTAACTGAATGATGCTTTGGTGTCACTGGCGTGGAACACAATTGGACAATAGTGTGGAGCAATAAAGTACAGTTGCACTGTCGCTGGAAGATAAATGTTGGTCCGTGCTCTAGCATAGACTTCAATCATTTATTGAACCTATTTAGGTGGTTCGAAAATGTTGCGGCCACGTTGATGGGAATCAACTTACTCTTGCCATCAGAAGAAATAGTACTCCACACCAGCACTGGGTCTCTGCCACCTTACAATGTCGATGCACTTATTCCTTTCCGTCCCTTCAATCTTCAAATCCTCATCCATTTATCGTTCGTTGCTAAAATCTTGCCTTGTCGCTCCATTGTGTTTCACGCCAGAGACTAGGCCTGGCTCGCTTGAAGCCGACCACTATCAGAGGTACAGTCACATGTACCTAAAGCGAATGAGGGTCAACTTAGTGAGTACTGTTCTCCAAAACCAGGTCCTCTGATTCTACCTCATTGTACTTTAGGCATTTTGAACTCGGCCCTAGACGGTTCAGTAGAATTGTTTTTGTGTTCCGATCGAAAAGGAGTTCTAATAATTTTGACGGGCAGTCGTCTATCTGTGAATGATGTAGTAAATTATCGCCATCATCATTGTGTAATGAAATACAGTGAAGTGAACTTCACAGATCGCTGCCGAATCCGCAATGCATACAAGGTTAGTGGCATCATGGAAGGTGAATAGGAATTAGACCTATTTTAGGGACGGTAACAGAAAGTGAATCTCTATGGTCAACACACAGAGAGCACAATTCGACTGTGCATACATACTACTTCAAGCATTCTGGTCTGATAAGAAGTGACAGCAAGATCGCCATTGCTGTCGGTTCGCAGCCATGACGTTCAGTGTCCTCAACTGTGCGATTCCGGATTCTTTTGGATCCCAATCAGGAAGACGAGACACCTACTCTACCTAATCGCTCTGTGCATTTGTTCATGCCTCGTCTCCATTTCATCTGCTGGCCTCCACATGGCTTTCTCCAGTCTGTAGTGGCCACTGCAAATAAGACTTGGTGCGGTAGGCGATTGTTAGACATGCTCAACATGTATCCTAACCAACGAAGCCCAATTGAGTTCAATTCGATGCGATAGCGAGTTCGTGTTCGGTGCATTCCCAAACACCGGACCACTTACTTCTAGGTTACTAACCCGCTCACTCCATCCCACCTGGGCCAGACTACGTAAGCATCCATTGTCGAAAACCACTAGGCGAAGGATACCTTCTTCCCTGCAAACTGAAGGTCTCAACCATAAAGCCTAACTGATCTTACAGTGGCGCAGCACACGCGACTTTCTAACTTCGGTGAAACATCACGTCGTCTCCACAGGTCGTATCATACACGAACTGGCATTAAGGATACTTGCTTTTTTTGGGATTATTCACTTATCATTTGAGGGCTGTTTTCTAAAGACGAAGCAAAAGTTAACAACTTGTTCCATGCGTGACATGCTCCCAAAATACTCATTCACTGAGGGAGGATGGAGTTGAATTTTAGAAATACATAGCTTTTGGGTTTCTTCTCGTTCACTCGATTGTCCGATGCTATTTCACCTTTCTGAACAGCAGTTACGATGAAGCATTTTACATTGAAAAAATATATCACGAGGTGGTGGTGATGAAGGTTCCAACTGTGCCTTGAAAGTGTTTGGAAACTGTAGTTGAATATGTTGCAAAAACCAACTTCAAATCGATTTTCCATTTGGATACACCTAAATCAAAGAACTACTTCTGACGTAGGGTTCGATATTTTAACAAATAATGATTTTGCAACTTTTGGCGAAAGTCTCAATTCAGAGGGGTACCAAATTCCGTTTATATTTGAGACAGCACTAAAGTCGAGCGTCACTATGGGTGATGGACTGGATTCTACGCCCCAAGACATATTCACATAGCTGAAAATTGCAAATGGTTCTTTATTCTACGGGATGTCGTCATTGTAGTGAGACGCCTGAACTTTCCTGAATGAAATTTTCTATTTGGCACTGAATTTGTTGACCTCGTACGCACGTTGTATAGAAACGACTGATCTAAATCCAAGACAAGAATGTTTTGTGTTTTGTGAAATGCGCTGATGATGATGATGATGATGATGATGAAGGCCTTCACGGTCTTGCACATAATGTTGTACTTCGTCCCCACGTTATCTTTCTTATGGGGCAACTATTTTCCCTCCCCGTCTTCCTTACTTTCTGTTGCAGTCAAAGAAACCCCGGCTGGACAACTCCAAAGGTAAATCGATCTCGGTCATCTCAGTAACCACGAGCAAAACCGATCCAAAGTCCAAATCAGCTCCGATAGTGAACAGTACGGTGAATCTGTCCTCAGTCACAGGCTCTTCTACCCAATCAAAAACATCCAGCGGATCGAAGCTGTGCTCAAAATCTCGACCGTTCGGTGCGGGCTTGCTGTTGAGCAAAATGAAGAAGAACAAACAGAAGAAACAGAAAAAAAGCAAAAGTCAGTTACATTCGGATCCGCAACAATCTTCACCCGTATCATCAGTTAATCCGGAGCAGCAGCAACGAAATCCGCTGAAAAAGTTCAAACTAAGCACGAAATTATCCGTCAGTTGTGGTACCTCGTCGAAAAAACGCACTGCAGAATTGGCCGATTTGGCTTATGCCTACTCGGGAAGTGACTCGAACGATGGCAAAGGATCCCGATCAACGTTCCCAGATCCGACCGGACCGGGTGGAACGAACTCGAGCAGTACCAGCGAGTCTGTGGGACCGCATCGATCCCAGTCGGAGAGTATGTTTTCGGACGATATCATGTTTGACTCAAACTCCTCCAGCCGTGACTCCAGTCAAACAAATGAGGCTGGTTCCCGTAAAGATACATCAAAAGAGCCGAGAGAACCCATGAGCTCGCAGGAGCTTATCTGGTGTCGGTAAGTATATTTACTGCTCATGTGTTTTCTGATTCTTCCAATGGGAATGCTCATTCTCATTGTGACTTGATGACAAGTACAGAACACTGTATCGTTTCCGCCGTTTTCTGTTTGTCTAACTGTTTTTTTTGTACTTTCACGAGAACGAAATTACGATAGCATTTTGTTTCACACCCGTCTGATTGCGGACTGTGTGCCAAACAAATTGCGGTACGCTAATGTTTACATCAAAGGGAAAGGTTCATGATTTACCAGTGGACGGAATACTGCAACTTTGTTGCTTTAGCCAAAAACGGATGGATTTTCTTTAGGATTCACAACAAAAAATGGATACTATATTTTATCTCAAGAAGTGTAAAACCGTGTTTCATCACACAAATTGAATTAGTATTCTGATGAAAATGATCACCGGTGTTCATTTTTGGCCGACTCGCTGCAAACCGAACAGTCGGTGAAAAAATGGTTCTCGTCCCACTTGTGTTTTTTTCGATTACATGAATTCACACGGACTGACAGTGCCATAAACAATGGTATGCTTTCGGTCGAATCTCGAAACTTTCCGTTCGTTGTAGAGATCTTTTGTTTGCCAACTACTATCGTTCCGACTATGCAACCAGATCGGTGTTATCTTGTCAAATGCGTGTAGCTGGCTCAACTGTTGAACTTTGGTAATCATTGACTTTTCTTTCACTTTCTCTCACTCTCATTTCACTTACAGTCTGACTACTGCAATTGATTTTGGTGGGGAAGGGGGAGGGAAGGGAGGGCTCAGTGCTAACAGGGGTGTGTGTGTGTGTGTGCCAGCAAGTCACCGAGAACAGCGTTTTATTCCAACAAGGTCGAGGTCCCGTTTCGCACGCCTTGTGTGCGTACAAACAATGGTCAATTGGGAGTGGTGAGTGGGAATAAGGCGGAATTCTGACCATGTCATCATCATCATCATCATCATCATCATTATCCGAAACGTTTGTTTATGCATATCAAAGGATGCGATATCACGTCCTACGTTGAATTATTCTCTATTACATGGACGGGACACAATTGCATCATCCGTTGGGTACGCGATCAGACTAATCAAATTTGTCTGTACACAAAATAGCACACCTTACCTCTTCTATAAAAAGAAACTTGGGTAGTCACGTGGATAACTTTTCTTTTTCTCTACTGGTTGGACACTCAAACTGTCAACATTGTAGATCAGATCGTCAGATCGAAAACTTTGGTGAGATTTGGCCGAAAAGAAAAAAGAACAACAAATCACAAACTAGCTTGACGCTCGAGTCAACGGTTTCGTTTAGTTTTCAAAGAGCTGTCCCCTCGGTTGGGTCGGCTTCCGTGATGCATACATGATCTCAAGCACGGAACTGTTTGCACCTCGAGGTTTATGCAGAACAACCGAAGCCCATGGCTATCGTGCGAACATTTCGAAGTTATCGCTTTTTTAAGAGTGCATCTACTGCATTTTTACTCACATATATGACACGCGTATGGCTCAGGTAATTCATCAAATCAAGTATCCCTCGACGAGGTGTGAGAATTTGATCGCCGTTGGTTGTCATATGATATCAACTTTAAACGACTAGGTCTTGTGAGGAAACTTGACTGGCATTATTTGGTTACAATTTATCAAACAATCGTCCACTTACACGTGTTGTTGATTGATAGAACTGAATAAGTATCATCGGACGCATTGGAAACATCAGTACAGCTCCAGTTTGACATAATTTAGTCATACAAACTTGGAACAGTTCATGCACATTCCAACTATGAGGCAGAAAAATATCACACACCCACACTCACACCCACCCACACACACGCACACACATTACGATGTGATTAAATTCCATCAGGCGTGTCATTTTGACGTGTTCATGCCTGACCGGTCACGCGTTTCTACACTGTTACGTTTTTATATAATTCAGGTTTGACCCTTAGACGTATGATATACATCAGTGTCCCGTATGAATATGCGCGTAACGAACGCATGAGATACTTTTCAGGCTCACCTGTTTCTTTTTTTGTGGTCTTGGTAAGTTTGTTAGTATTTTCTTTTCCCGATTCTTATGTTAAATTAAAAAGAAATTGGTCGATCACTAGTCACCATATGCACCCACCCACCCCCTCCCGTCTCCTTGCGCAACAGAATGGCCACTGAAGATCTGATCAATCACGAAGCTTCTTGGGCTTTTCGTAAACCGGTGAACGTGAAACAAGTTCCGTTCTATCGCAAAGTGATCAAACATCCCATGGATTTGTCCACGATTCAACGCAAAACACGTGACCCCGGGTAAATGCAGTTTTACTTTCTCTGTCCAACTGAATGTCGCGTCCTGTCCCCCCTTAGATCAGGCAAAAGTCGAACGAATGTATTTGTATCAAATTGAATGTTGAATTTGCCGGGCATTGGTTTTAATTTCCTTCCATTGCTGTTCGTTTTACATGTTGTGCACAGGGGGCTGGTCAGCTGTACAAATGTCGTTGCGTCACTGTCCTTCTACGATGATATTGGACATAGCTCTTATTTTGAAAAATAACTATTATATGAGAGAAATATCTTGTATTGATTTGGGCCTATCTCGTAAACTTAGTGTGGTAATTGTAGTAATAGTAGTACACACTAATCACGAAGCACGAATCACGAATTAGAAATCGCGAACTAACAATCACGGACGCAACGTAAGCGCTGGATCACACTAGTACTTGCACACAGTATCCCACATAACCGAGAGGCGAGGAAAAATTCACAGGAATAGCAGCTCGTTTATTGGAGGAAATCAGGGGAATTAAATANGTGCTAGTATTTCTGGTGTTGTGCAGTTTCTGTCTGGGCCACATGGTTTCTGATTAGTTGGTACAATTGACCTATGGTCTGTAGTCCAGACGCTGTGACACGTACGCGCTTTGCTGACGTCACCCGGAAAGCTTGATTGATCACAGTTGTCCGAAAACTGTAAAGTGTCGCTCCGTGGTATGCGTCATCTCGTAGGCTAGGATCACCGGCACTTAGGCTGCGCACATTTGTTTGCATTAGTTTCAACTTTTAAAATTACCACAGAAGGGTCATTCTGGAAGTTTGCCTAAAGCATATTTACACTCGGCAATGTTGGATTCACATCTCGTAAATATTTCTGTTTATGTTTTGACCTTGTCTTTTTATCTCGTACTCTGGTTTACAGTTCCTACGCGTCCTTCAGTGAGTGGCTAAGTGACGTGCGTCTCATATTTAACAACTGCGAAATATTCAATGAGGATGATTCCGAGGTAGG